GCCCGGCCCGCTCCCTGCGGGGCGGCTTGGCAGTAGGGCCCGGGGCTAGCACTCTGTGCTAAGGCAGGCCTTGCTCCTTCTAGGAATTACCGCTCGGTACCTGTGCTTCAGCGGCAACCCGAACGAGATGCAGAACGACGCCGGGGAGTTTGTGGATCTCTACGTTCCTCGGAAATGGTGAGCGGTTCCCTCCAGCGGCGAGGGTGCCGGTGGGGATGGCGGGGCCGCAACGCGTGTGCCCCGAGGAGCTGGGCTCTTGGCGGTGAACCGGACCAGGCCGATACAGCCTATGCAAAAGCAGGTTTTTTACTAGTAGCGAATACCTGCGGGGGAAAAAAGTATTTTTGTAATGTGTTCCAGTATTTTTAAATAGCTTACATGAAGCAGAGACTGAAGTTTAAGAGAACACTGTGCATGTTTTGTTGCATAACTGTCAGCCTTACAGTGGTAGTGACAGCTCATGTGTGGCTCACTTCAGGAGTAAATGTGCATGTTTGTAATACGGTAGCGTTTCTATGCTACAAGCTGTTATAGGGCACCTGTTAAGTAGTCGCTTGTTGCCTTGATAGCACATCTTAAGTATGTTTTTGAGATGATAATAAATGGAAAATGAGAAGCTTTTTGTAAATGCATACGTTTAAAAAAATCACTAAAAAGTAAGCGATTTGTATGTGTTTTATTAGGTTTAAATCAAATGTTTTTTACAACCTGTGATTTCTGAGGGTTTGTGACCTGAGGGTCTTTTGACAACTGTCATGGCTCACAATGAAGAAGGCATAGAAACTGCATTCTTATGAATTATATTGATTGCTGTATTTTTTTGCACTTTAGAAGAGAAAAACTTGATATTCTGTGTGTTTTGAAGGCCTGTGCCTCTGTGTGCACTGTGTAGGGATGAACTGGGCATATAAAAAACAAGGTGAAGGGATGGTTGGCAACTTAGCTTGATGCTGCTAAGTGAAAGTCTCCTTTAAATGTACTTATAACTGCATTTTAATTTTCCAAGTGCTGAAAACTTAATCCATTACTGTCTAAAAGTGTTTTGCAACTTTAATTTGCATGTAGAGTTGGCTTTAATAGTTTTTTTCATTGTCACTGTCTGTCTCCTTTTGTTTAAATGTATTTTGTAATTTTATTCCTTAGCTCTGCTAGCAACCGAATAATTGGTGCAAAGGATCATGCTTCTATTCAGATAAATATTTCTGAGGTAAGTTTTGTAACAGAGGTATGTGATGAGAGAGCTACACCTTTAAACTTTTGATAGAAGTTAAGAAATGAAACAGCTTGTGGTGCATCTCCAAATGATTCACTAGAGACCACGTAAGTGTAGAACTTGAGGGCTTTTAAACATACAGGTATATTACTACGTCACCCCTGGTTATTTTTCAGCCTATTGGAAAATACTCATTAGAGGGAATTTCATATAGCTCTATACAGTCTGTTCCAGTGCGTAACCATTTGACTAAACACAATTTCTGAACTCTGGATATTTAGAGTTATAAATTAGGGAATTCCTTGTCCTGAAAGAAAGAAGGAGAAGAAATACTTGTTTCTGGGAGATCCTTATCCCTTTTATCTTCACCTGTCTGTAAGAAAGTACCATTCTTCAGTCTGTCCTTGTGCACCCTGCTTTTTAATTTTTTATTCTTGTTGATATTCTCTGTGCTTTTTCTAGTTTGTTCAAACTTTAAGAAAGATAGTTTCCAGAGCAGAACTCTATTTCTGTTCTATTTTGCTTAACTAAAATGCCATCTTCCGTGTTTTGTTTGAATCTTTTCTGTTAATACTTGAGACTGCTGCTCTGATAGGTGACAAATGAGATTGCTCGTGTGTTTTGTGTGCAGCACTTTGATTTCATTAATTCAGTGCTTGGGGTATTACATGCTTAGAATTTTTCCTGAGGCATGCTGCTTATTTGTGTTGGCTTGGTATTGTACATTTAGTTTTCTTTCTGTAACATAAGGAATTTATTCTTGTCTAAGTTTAATTTCATCTTCTCAAGGTAGTGTTATTGCAAATCCATCCAAGCTTAACATACATGCTGAGAAAACCACAGTAGACCTTGACTCCTGCAGGATCCCAGTTAATGCACATGGGCTCTAGTTAGTTTAAACTCCTTTTAGCATGCTTTTTTTTCCCCCATTTTTTTTTATTGTTATTCACCTTGCAGGAATTCTGTGGACACAATGTTCCTATAGCTTATGAGCTATATAGCTTGATTTATTTCTTCTTGAATGGGAGGCCACAAAACTGCATTCCCATATTTTTAAACAACTGAGTCTCTTGTGTTACCAGTCTGACTAAAGAAATTATTTTACAAAATGTGCTGTTTGCAATTTCCTGTAAATGTTAAGGCAAGTACTTTTCTTGTTCACCGTGTTTCATTCCTTCAGTGATCCTTATTTCTTGTTTTCAAAGGATCAGAGATTAGCAGAACTCGAAAACAAACCCACATGGTATTACAGGGTTCACTACCCTGTTTAATTTAATGGTTTATATTGTTTAGTCTTTTTTTCCTGTTAAATTTCTCAGCAACTGAAGGAAGTGTCATAATTTGTGTCTCTCAACTTGGGCATTTTTCTACCTGTGTAACAAGACTGTCCCCTTCCCCCTTTCACTTCAATTTTCCATAATACTGACCTTAATTAAAATAAACATGAAAAAAATAGCAGAGGCAGTAAAATCCACAACGAAACTTTACATTGAAATTCTCCATTTTTTTCAGAACTCAAATACTTTCTTCTTCTAGCTACCATTTTGTATTACGTTCTTGTTATGCTGTGTGATCCATTAAATTTTGCAGCTGCACTATGTAACTAACCATAAATTTGCTGTGAAAAGTTACTCTATAGTTTTTTCTAACTTCAGGATTTGCCTTGGGTTTTTGTAGTTTGCAGAAAAATATTTGCAGTGTTTTACAAGTAATTTTTATCTTTGGGTGCTTGGCAAGTGTGATGTAAGAGCATAAAATTTTATAAGAATCTGTATGGAGTAACTTGCTTGTAATTACAGGTCGACAAGGTAACAGGCAGAGTAAATGGCCAGTTTAAAACATATGCCATTTGTGGAGCAATTCGTAGAATGGTAAGTACTTTTTTGACCTACAAAATGATTGTGCTTGCTTTTATATCGATTAGTGATTTTTTAGATTTATATTTGGCCCTGAAAACACAATGCGCCTTCAGCTCATTCTAGAGGAAGAGCTTTTGTGGGGATCACGAGGACAGAGTGAAGATGTGAACAAATTCACTTGCAAGAATCAGTTTCTTCTGTTTTGTTTTTTTTTTCCCCTGAATCCTTCGGTTTCTAGAATTATGTATGTTTATATTTTTTAAAAAAAAAAATCACTGAAGGATGCACATGATTTTTTTTTTTTTTTCTTTTAAGAATGTACCAGGCTACTAATATCTGGCTTTTATCTGTTGATTATAGTTTTAGAGATGATACTACCATGACTTAAATTTGTTAAACATGGAGTGAAGCTTCCTAGAGTTCCTCAGAAGTCTATTTACCCAGAAATGTATCTTGCTAATACAAGCGTATATTTTATCAAGTTAAAACTATTTCTTGTCCTAAAGGATGACAAACAATTAACAGCTAGTTTTGAAAACACTAATCTGTGCCTGTAAGATGTAGTGATCTGTGGAAGGCATTGTGCATTTCACTACCAGCATTAAATGCTGCAGCTGCTTCCTTTTAATGTGTATCAGCAATTATTGGGTCACTTCAGAATCATCTTTTTTTTTTTTTTTTTTAAAGGGTGAATCCGATGACTCCATTCTACGTCTGGCAAAAAATGATGGAATTGTTTCCAAGTACGTGTGTTTATCTTATCCTCAAACTCTTGCAGGGGTAACTGCCATACCCAAATCCAGTTTTTAGGATGAAAATGTATACACTGTATTTATAGGTTGATTATACAGTTGGTCAAAAATATTTACTTGAGCTGTTGAAGCAAACTGACTTGTAACAATGTTTGTTTCATTTTCTTCTAGGAACTTCTAACTGAAGAAACTCTGGTATGGAACATCTGATGTAAAATAAACAGTTCAAACCTATATTGTGTTGTGTCTTTTGTTCAAGTCATAAACATTGGTGGATTTATTATAGCTAGTCTTAAAAGACCTACAAATATGTATCTTCAAAAGATATACAGATTCTGATTCTGAATTCTTAAAACAAATTGGCTTATAAAGCAGTGCCAGAGTTGAAAATCAAGAATTTCGACTTCTCTCTTTGGTTCACTGTCATCTTTCATTTCCAGATTTAGTAAGTTTTGCAATTGTAGCTCAAGTCCTTTTTTGATCTGTAATGGAACATTTTGCAATGTAGCAATCTAATTCAACTTGCTGCTTTTTCAGTGGAGAAACTAAGGGGTTTTTTTGGTTATGATATGAAAGTTTAGTGGGTTTTCTGCTGATAGAAGCTCACAATATTTATTCTGCCATTGACGCATTCTTTAAGGGAATTATTAAAACTAGAATTCATGGAAAACTGTCTACACAGAAATACTTCTTGGCGTGCTAGCGGGTTAAGAGACTCTTTCACACGGCAATCAAAGTTTTACCTTTTTACTCATATGAAAGACCTTGATGGTGAAAAGCAGGGAAATAATTTAAGGAGAAATAAATCTGAATATTTGGCAATATTTTAATAAATTACTTAATACCTCTTTAATGGCTAGATAGACTTTATACCTGGTGATGTGGGGTTGTTTTGCTTCTTTTAGCTATCTTGCTAGCAGAACCAAGGGAGGATGCAAGCAGTTTGGATGATACTACATCTGCTGACACTGCCTCTCTCGTTAGCCAGACAGGGAACTGACAGATTTCCATCACACTTCTGAGCTAACACACCCCAAAGTTTTTATAATGTAGCTTGAAAGAGTTGCTTCAAGGTTCTACCTGTTGTACTTCAGGTGTTTAGTTTTAATTTGAACTGGTTTCTGAAAACGTAAAGCTTCTCAAGTAGTTGTTGCAAAAGAAAAATACAGTTTGCTGGCTCAGACTACAGTGATACTCAAACCACAAGCTTTGCTGAGTTATCATCAGGAATTAACTTTAGATACTGGATTAGAAAGTTTGATTTTTCTGCAAGGCCAAGATCATAGATGTACTGTCAAACTGAGATGCTTTTAAAAAAATCTGCAATTGTCCTGACCTTACAGTACTTTATTCTGACACCTCTGAACTTGCTTCTGCTGTGTGCCAAAATACACCAGAAATACATTGTTTCAGGGTCTTTTTTTTTTTTTTTTTCCCTTTGATCAGCTCTTCAAGTTTGGCTTTGGTAATTGCATTTGGAAAGTGCTATGCTTAAGGTGGTATAGCTGTACTAACAAACCTTTGGGATCTCGCCTGTTGTAGGGGGCCATAGTGCTTTTGGCAGTATTACGGCTTTGTTACATCTCAGCAGTGTTGGTGACTGTATTAAATTGCAAAAGCTCTCCACAGTCTTTTCCTATACTGTCTGCAGGAGCTGAGAGACAAAATTGTAGTTAAGTGCTAAGCTAGAACTGACGGCTGGCACCTAGATATGGTTATGAGAAAGGGGAAGGGTGTTTTGTGTCTTAGAGTGCCTAGTTAAAATCATTGGCACCTCTGTTGGGAAAAGAGATTTCTGATCTACTTTGGCTATAATTCCGCAAGGACTTAAAAGCCTGATGTCTTTTCCAGTGGTATAATGGCTCTCAGATTTTTGTTTTGCAGGAGGGATACAAGAAAAAGCTGTATCCTTTCTTCCAGGTGCTGCTTTTGTGTTGGTAGATTTTGTTTGCACACAGGTTTATTTGTCAGTTGGTGCTTATCACTGAAATAGAAGGTTATATGTGGCTTTGGTAGTTTTGAAATATGCTAGTGTGATACGACTGGTATTGAAAATTCCCATTGTCAACTGCATTTTACCAATTTCATAGTATCTACAACTATGCACAGGCTATCCTTCGGATCATGTGTTCTGATCTGCGCATCCTCAAGAATTACTGAGAGGTTATATCCAGATTATACCGTGTTCACTCCTGTGTGATCATCTCTAGGACGTCTGCAGTTGTCCTTACTCAAATCTCTGCATAGGCCCTCTCTCAAAGTTTTCTCAAGTGATAGAAACTGTTTTGGTGATGCTTTCCTGTTTATGCTGTAAGCTGTCTCCATGTAGAGCTTGTTACCATGTGGTTTATTTCTGACTTTTGCTGTGGGTGCATGTGGGTGTGGGAAGCTTAAGCCTCAGACCTCTCTTAGGAGAGCCTGGAATAGGGATGCTGTCATCTCTGAACTAAGAAGCAGGATGGCTGAACTATCCAAGCATAGTTTCTTTCTCCTTATCTGTATTTTTCTTACTTTTCAGACATGTGAAAATACAGTGTATTTCTTTGGAAGATACCGTCTTGACACTGTGAATAGCTACTGATTCTAAGCATCGCAAATCAGGCCATGTTAATGTGTAGTTGCAATGTGGTGTGTTTTTTTTCATTTGAATCAGGTTCTTTTCAAATCATAAAGAGAGTTAGGATTTCAAGTGTAAGCCACTGTATAGATATTATGAAGTCCGTCACTAAACCTTTGTTGCGGGGGCAATTTCAGCAGAGAAGACCAAAATCGACAGACTGATAGCCCTTTTTAGTGTAGCTGTAAACCAAAACATTTTTGGTTGCGCATTCTGTCTTCCCACTGATAACGCTTGAATTTACCAGTCCTCCTCCAAGCTGATAGAACTTTTAAAAGATAAACTCCTGGATGTTTCAAGTAAGGGGGAAACTCAGCTAAAAAGACCAAAAAAAGGCTTCATGTTGAATTCATGTTGAACTTAATAATACAAAAAGCATGCAAGAGAGAGAGCTTTTAAATACCACAGGCAGAAAAATAAAAAATGAACCCATACTTTATTTTTGAGCTACATTCTTCTGACATCTATGTCAACCATGAAAGATGCATTAAAAAAAAACGTGGGGGGACCTGTTAGTTGTGATTCTCCTGGAAATAATTCATTTTTCCAGCAGATAAATCTCTGAAAACACTTTGTGGAAAGACAAATACACTCTCTGGAGCATACAAACTGGAGATTTTCAGCTTGGCTTGTGTCCAATCCTCATTACTTTCCTTTGTGCACAGTAAAAGGAGATAAGTTTTAATTGGACTTGATGTTTCTTTCTGACATATCTTAAATTAGCTGGTTCTGCCTTGGCGTTAGGGTAGAACTTTAAATAAAACCAGTAACTGTTTACTGCTGATAAATGCCTAGTTTACCAAAGAGTTTAAATATTGTTGACTTGCTTCTAATCCGCTGGGACTCTGTTCATCCACATGGATTTCAGCAGAATTCCTCCGTAAGGCAAAGTGAACTGGCAGCTTAAAAGTTCAAGATGAACTTGAGGTCTCTCAGATGTCTTTTTAAGCAATAAAACTCCATTAGCATACAGCTGTACCAAGTTTACACTTCTGCATTGATTAAATATTTAAGAATGATGTTGTAGTTTAAAACTTTCTTTGCTTTGTAATACTGATTGTTGCTGTTTGTTTTTCAGAATTTTAAAAAATTGAAACAAACTACTTTTTCATTAATTTCTTGTCAAAATAAGCTTATGAAATGTCCTAAGACCTAGTTCAATGGGAAATGGATTAGTGCTGTTCTAAAGGCTTCCTGAAGTTCACACCATCTTCACTAGTGAGACTGCATAGCACATGAGATCTTATAAAAATTTCTGCAGAATCCTAAGGGAGGACACGTGTCCCTTTAAAAATCAATTTTGAGTTGCATTTTTCTAGTATTGTGATGTAAAGTGTTCTTTGTTTTCCTGGGACAGGAATAGTTCAGATCTAGAGCCATGAAAGGGAATGAACTGTACTTGTACTGTACAAGATGGACAGAGTTGCCCTTACATGGTTACATTGCACCAAGTCATGAAATTCTTTCTGTTACTTATGAGGACTTGGCAGTGGCATCCTAAAGACACTGGATTTAACTGGGGCTATTTTAGTGTCTTTGGCCAAAATTTTGCTGCTTGGACAAGAGCCTGTCTACTCCTTAAAACACCTGTTTTTTTGGAAGGAGCTTGTAGATGTCTCATAATACCAATTTTTCTTTTAAGCCTTTATGTTCTTTTAATGAACTCCGTGATGTTGAAAAGCTGCTTTAGTCAATCTTAGCTGTACGTATGTTGTGATCAGAGGTCCAGGGTTAGGAGGCTACTGCGTCTTCTGTTGCTGGGGGCACAGAATTTTAGCAGCTTTGATAACATCACCCTTGCTTGCAAGGTGCCAAACAGGCAAAATGCTGCCAGGGCTGGGAGAAGACAAGAGGCAACATGCTTCCCTGGCATCGCTTGTGCTTCACTGCAGAAAGGAGCACTGTGACTCAGAAGAGGCATAAAAAAGGCCAAGAGTGTCTTTTGCTTTCACGCATGTCCGTTACTGCTGCTCTCTTCTTCCTGGCTCAAGCTCCCAAGGAGAGCGTGGAGCAGAGGCTGTCTCACTAGTGCTTCCTATGGAAAGGAAGCTGGGACAGCTTGCGACAGATATAGTTTATTTTCTTAAAGCACGCAGTGATGCTGGAGGCTGCTGAAAGCCTACCTAGAGGACTGAGCTAAGTTGTTACGCTAGATTTGGCAACGATTCTGTTTTTCAGTTGGATGTTAGGGAGAGCTGTCTATTCCCATCTCCTGTTTAGTTCAGTTGCTGTCACTCATAGTGATACACAGAGATAAAAACACCTCTGCTGCAAATATTACTTTGAACAGGTTAAGGGAGGTTTTGATTTTAGTTAATTCGTTGATGACCATTTGCGTTAAGGCATCCAAGGGGATGCAGCTTCCCCATGTGTATGTTGGACTAATCAGCTATGGAAAAACATAGAAAACTAATTAAGCATTTTTTCCTGCTGGGAAATACACTGGTTTTTAATATAAGACAGGAGGTCTCCTTGACTAAATCCTTAATAGGAACTGCAGGTGCTGAGATTTTAAGAATTAAGAACAATTAATAAGGTCAGTGTGGGATTTTTTTTTTTTAATGTTTAATGATGAAAAAGGTATTATTTTAAC